AGATAAAAGTAATTATAACTTTATACTAAAATAAAGAATAGTGAAGTAGCTCACAATTAAAATCAGAAACAAAATTCAGTCTGTATTTAAACAAGAGCTTACATTTCTTAGTACAGAGGGATAAAGCATATATTCAATTCAAGTTAATGTACTAAGAATACTGCCTTTTTTCTTACAACTCTATATATTCAAGCATTTAATGCTAAAAGGGGTACTGCCATTTGATAAACTGTTATTCAAAAAATACCTACTTCTTCATTTCTAGACTGAACCAGTCTAGAAACAACAACAGCGGTAAAATGAACTCAAATATGTGCTAGTGAAAAAGAAAACTTGAGATTTTCTAATAATTAAAAAATATACCTTGTATATAAATCATAAAGATTTTTGAGATACTGTTCTGCATCTGATTTCCTACATTCTTCCAACTGATCTTTCACAAAACTCTGAAAAAGAAAGTCAACAGTTTTATAAGTAAATATTAATTTGCATATTTATTTTCTTCTAAAATTTGATGTAATTTTGAACTATAGTGACTTAAAATCCAAGCAAAAAGGCAATCCACAAAAAATGGACCAATCATAAAAATTTAAGAATAGATTTTAAAATTTTAATGCTTCTCATATTTACCTACAGAAGATCTATGTTAGTCTGGGGTATAAATATTAAGATTTTAAAACAATTATCTTTTGAAATATCATTAGGATACAAACGGTGGTTATTAGTATCTTGTGAGACACTAACAGGCATTGCTCTAAACTAGGGCTCCTTGGTCAGTAAATGTGAGAAATGCTGTGTAATACAATTCCAATTACAGATACCCATAACATACATAAGCACATGTAAAAGCTACCAAAAGTCCTAAATTCTATTTAAAACAATGCTTAATCTAGTGGTAAACATAATTTGGAAAATGTCTACAAGTACAGTGGTATGAGAGTAAAGGTTGTAAAATTACTTTCATGTTAATATGTCACAAAAAGTTGTACAAGACTCTACTTGTAATTTTTGTTTCATTCCATGACTGTCTTTTTTGTACAAGCCAAGAATTTAAAGAAAAGATTTTGAGGCTTCCTAACCACAATATTGTATTACCACTACTACTGCTATAACAAATTTCAAGTATGTTTTGATGACACTTGGGAATTAGCACCTTTTCCCTGGTGAATAATCATTTCTTAAAAACCTTGATAGCACTGGGGAGATAGCTCAGTAAAACAAGTGCTTGCCTGGCAAGCACAAGGAACTGAGTTCAATCCCCAGTACTGCAAAAATAAATAAATAAATAAAAATAAAAAGCTTGATAACTGACATTTCTTTCTCCCTAGATTACTATGTCTTAAAAAAAACTTCCAAAACTTTAAAAAAGTCCCACCTTGCCTTAAAAACTATTTAATTTGTCGCTTTAAAATTACCTGTAGTTTGATTTCAAATACATTTTGAATAAGTTTAGCCAGTACTGTTTCTGGATTACTAAAGATATCTCCAACTTGCTTGTTCACACGCTGACAGAGTATTGCTGCATCTTCAAATATATCATTTCTCAAATAAGCCCCCTAAACAGCAGAGGCATTTTTCATAGTTAATATACAATTTTTAAATGGGTTTGAAAATACAAAATAGCATAAAAACTCAATAAAGTATACAGATATGTTACCTCCTGGCACTGCTTTATATAAACATCAACACAATGAGAATAACCCTAAAAAGAACAAACACATTGTTAACCATTATTTCCAGTTAAATTAACAGCAAAACATTGTTAAAAGTGCTAAAGTTGTGTCTTATGTTACTGGAATGAAATAAAGATAACTATACAGAATCAGTTAACATAGTTGTCTTCTCCCATTTTTAATGATAAAATTGATCAGTTGGTTTATATAGTTATTGGACTTTAGATGCCGTAACAATGCTGAGGTATAAGTGAGTTCTTTCCAGTAATTTCTGCCTTAAAATCATCTAGCCATGTGTTTCAACTCCGAAAACATACATACATGTAGCCATTCACACGTGCGTGTAAACACACACACACACACACACACACACACACCCCTAGCTTCAAGGTCTTGAAGGCTATACACATACATATCTTTTTCTTCTTTCTTCTCTTGGACTCAAAACATTTCCCTTTCATAGGGCACAGCTGTGTTTAACTGACAATATGGGCATTTACTTTTCATTTTATTAATTTATTGGTACTGGGAATTGAACCAAGGACCTTGTACTTGTCAGGCAAGTGCTATGTCATTTATATCCCCAGTCCCAGGAATTTACTTAAGTTCTTTTTGGTTTTTTAATACAAAGTGGTACAAGGTCTCACTACACAGACCAGACTTCATTTTCAGCCTCCCTAGCGCTGGGATTGCAGGTGTGTGCCATCACACCCAGTCGCGGCCAGCTCAGCATACCCAGGGGCGGGGCTGGCGCAGCATGTGGTGCGGGGGATTGAACCTGGTCCCTGCACTTGCTTAACCAGGCACTTAGTCCACTGAGCTATCTTGCCAGCTCTGAAATTGACTTTTTAACTGAAGTAATTTCAATAAAATGGTTTAAGACTAAGTAACTTGTCATATTAAGCTCAATATAATGATGTACCGCAATCTCAAATCGCATTTTTAATATTCCATTTATGTTACCAAAATGAAAAGTCCAGTAAACAACTTCCAGTGTTTAATTTGATGAATAAATATGAAGAACTAGATTGAAGAAAGAATTTTTTTCATTTATTTTGTAGCCCAGGTGGGACATGCAGCTTGAATTCTAAATTCTCCTGCTCAGCTTCTAAATGTTGGGATTATAGGCATGTATCACCAAGCCCACCTCAAGAACTATTTCTTTTAGCATTATCCAGGAAGATTATGTCTATTTTAAAATATTTCTTTGCATTTACCACTGGAGACACACTGGATTTCTCTTACTAATCACATTTCATGAACTCTTTGATACCTACATTCCACCAGATAATTAGAGTCAATTTTCTTGCTTTCTGACTTATTTCATAACATGTTTGACTGAAGCAGATACATTAAAAAGCAAAGGATAATAACTTTCTTTACCAAACTATATGGAAACTCTTTAACATTAATATAACACAAAATCTTTATTAAAATATAAAATACCTAAGATTTAACATCATTTCAGATATATAAAATGTATACTGTATTCAAAATAATTTAAAACAATGAAAATTATTGCTGATATAGTTATACAATTAAAAGGCCAAAATCAGAGACGAAGACATAAAACCTGCAGAATTTCCACAACTCTGGACACTGATATTTTAAATTTTTACTGTTTACCTTAAAGTGAAGAAGTACTGCTGCCACTTCCCTCATTCTGGAGATTTCACCTCTTCTTTGAGCACTAGTAAACTCCTGAATCAGCTGGCATTCTAAGTCATGGTATTTACCTAAAAATAAGAAGAAAGCATCTAGCTATATTGAGGCATTTAAAGTATCTAAGTTGCTTACAAATACCTAAGTTATTTACAAATACAATGACTATGAGTAATCTTTTTTTGGAACAATTACAAAAGAAGATATTACAGACAGATCTAATGCCTATAATATTTAAAGTTACATGTAATCTATATTTCAAGACATGAAAACTTTCAAACTGGTAAAACAGCTGGGTTCCCTGAGGTCTGACCACCATTTACTACTATTACTTAAAATGCATTTGACTACGTATTTTTTAAAAAGATAAAATGAAAATTCCTCCAAAAGCCTGTCATGACAGCAACAGTAAGAAAAATATTAAAGCATTTGCTCTGTAAAAAGGATGAGTACTACAAAATTCTTTACTAAAGTTCAGATGTTTTTACCACAAACAATAGTGGATAAAATACAGAATTTCATCTTAATATGCAGTACTTGATTGAGCATTCTTAAGGTTATGATTCGTGTGTGTGTGTGTGTGTGTGTGTGTGTGTGTGTGTGTAGGATCTCACTACACAGCTTGAGCTCATGGTGATCCTCCTGTTTTCAGCCTCCCCAGTCCTGGGATTACAGGCATGCGCCACCACACCCCAGCCTGGTCTCAGGCTCAGTGCGCCCACGGGCGGAGCCAGTGTGGCATGTGGTGCCAGGAATCTAACCCCTGCCCCTGTGCTTGCCCCCTAAGCAGGCACTTAGTCCGCTATCTCACCAGCCCTGGTTATTATGATTCTTAATGAACACTTAAACTTCAGGTTAATCTACAGTGATGAAAAATAATACCAATAAATCCAACACTTATTTGTAACATCTCATTCCAAGAGTCCTAGAAGTACAGGTGGTTCTTTGAACCTTCTCTAATCTAAGAAGGTCTAGCAAACAATGGTCCAGGATACTATAGATGGAGCATACAAATACAGTGCTTGCTCCAGAAACTTAGAATGATCTAGCTTACAGTACAATCCAAAGATTGGCGAAAACAAGCTAATCACTTAAGGAGTAAAATAGGTATCAAAAGGCTCAGACTGTCTTAGCTTTAAAAAGAAACATAAACAGAAACTTATTCACATACATATATGAAATAATCTCAAAAATATATTGTTAAATTTAAAAAACAAGGTCCAAAGCTTTTTGCTACCAATTGTTTATTTAATACAGATAAAGATATATGCACATATATCAATGCACATATGCAGGATTTACATTTTATGCTAGTATAACCATAGAATATTCTCTAAGAGTACTCCAGAAGCTGGTAATGCTCATTTTCAGAGAAAAGAAATTAAACTCCGTAACAGAATGGAAGGATATCATTGTTCTCACCATCCCTATTTTTGTTATTTGTTCTTTGCCTTTTTTTACACAAGTAATGGTTTTTATTTGCTAAAAAAAAAAGGTAAGCTGACCCCACTTACTTGCAATCTTGGATTTTACTTCTGAAAATCTGAAAAATACAAGTGAATGATGAGGTTCACTAGTTGTGACAAACACATTATGATAATGTAAGATGTTACTAAAGACAAAGCTGGGAACAAAAGTATACTAGAACTCTCTATACTATCTTTGTAGCTTTTTTGTAACTCTAAAATTATTATAAAATTAAAATATTACCACAAAAAAATGAAGTCTAAGAAGAGAGAACAGACATGAAGCACAACAGGCAACAAAATTTTATTTATACAACTTAGATGAGACAGACGCTTCTCATTTAGGAAATTCACACTGACAATTCAATTCCCTTATTCAAGTAGGAAGAGCATGAAGCACTAACAGTCCGAAAATTGTTACTGTCCCTACTCATATTTACTGACATTTTAAATTCACTTGATCATTATGATTAATAATGACAATCTGCCCCACACTAAGATTTTTGAAAATAAAGTTTTACAAAGCTTTTGTAAATGGAGAAGGGAGGAGGGACTAAACAAAAGGGAGAGGAATAGAAAAAAAAGAAACAAGTTATATATAGGTACAAATTCCCTATGATGAATGTGATCATTACGTACATCTAAAATACACCAATAAAATTTGATTGGAAAAATATTTAAAAATATGAAGTTTTAAATTACTTAAGAGGTCATGGTGGTGCATACTTGTAACCTCAGCACTCGGAGAAACTAAAGCAGGAGGATTCCAAGTTTGAGCCCAGCTTGGGCATGACTATAGCAAAATAAAAAAATAAACAAGGACTAGAGATGTACCTAAGTACAAAGGCCATGGGTTCTATCCCCAGTACTGCCCCTGCAAGTTTGTTTTAAAAATTAACCATTAAAACTAGATAAAAATTTAAAAGCCATAAAAAGAATGTACTTAGGAGGAAAAACCATTCATCTTTAGCAATTTAAAAGCTACAATACTACATAGTAGATTCAGCAAATCAAGCAGTAACATATAACATGGAAATCTGATGTTGAAAGATCCTGTGCAATCATTGGAAGAAAAACAAGAGTGATCAGCAAAAGAGATGCCAAAAACAGATGACGAAGGAAACAAAAATTTATAAAATTATAAAAATGATATCTCAAAGTGACAGTAGGTCACAGAATACATGTGAGATCTGAGTGACCTGGGTGAAAATTTTAAGTCTGATTAAGGTATACATTCAATTCAAAGACTTGGTAACAAGGCTGAAACAAAACTGGAAGAGCTTTAGTGCAGCTTGGTGCTAAGAGACTTGCCTAGCATGTACGTGAAGCCAAAGGTTCAACCCCCAGCATTATAAAAAATAAAATACAAAGCATAAAACTTTTATATATGAACTTGAGAGATGAAGAACATAAACACATGAATGATTATTTTGGAGGCAATAACAGAAGGGAGGGAGGGATGGAGATGTAGTAACTTTATCGTGCACATATTTTGAGCTAGACAAGTTAGCCACTTAAATGATACAACTCTGAAATGAGCTAAAGATAGAGATAATTTTTGGTGGATGACTTTAAAATTTTTACTACAATCCTTTAGGATGATACAGAGTAAAACTTAATCTGGGGAGGAATACACTGTATATTTGTCATGCTTTAAGTATGGTAATACATCCATGGTATATTTGTACCCAAAGAGCTTCAAGTATGAACAAAAGAAAAGCAGATATATTATCTGCTATTAGAAAGTCCTATTTGTTTCTAATATTCACGCAGAACTTCCACTTCCACCAAGATTTCATTAGAGTCTGACATTCCATGGACTACACAAAATCATGAAATAATTTTCTTCTCAGTAGGTAGGATGAGCTCTAATGTAATAATAGCTCTGAGATCTTATACTGAATACAAGGATTCTTGGCCTAAAGCCCCTGGAGTTTTGTAGAGAGGGTAAAGGCTAAAACTCCATGAAACCACATATAAAAACCTGTGTATATATTAATTTCTTTTTTTTATTTTTTATTTATTTTTTTTATTTTTCAACAAATCTTATACTGAATACAAGGATTCTTGGCCTAAAGCCCCTGGAGTTTTGTAGAGAGGGTAAAGGCTAAAACGCCATGAAACCACATATAAAAACCTGTGTATATATTAATTTCTTTTTTTTATTTTTTATTTATTTTTTTTTATTTTTCAACAAATAATACACTGCATATGTTCTTCTTAGTGGTTAATTGCTGTACAAGATGCGTATATTAATTTCTTGAAGATACTTTGCAGCATTCATTAGCCTTTTAAAGATACCATAAAACTCAAAGCTTTTTTTTTTTTT